AGGCCTTGCTGAAGTCCAGAAAGACTACATCCACCGCGACACCTGCATCCATGGCCTTTGTGACCTGATCGTAGAAGGCAATCAGGTTGGTCTGACATGATCTCCCCCTAATAAATCCATGCTGATTGCCCCTGAGCATCATTTCTGATGCCGGCCCATCACAAATGTGCTCCTTGATGATCTTCTCAAAGTGAGCTTGGCTCACCAGAAATTAAAGTGTCGTGTCCATGGATTTGTTGCGTGTAAACACAAAGGTACTCAAAGATGTGTAATTAGCTGAATAGTCCAACACCAGAACATGTCACTGTGTTTTACATACTGGAGCTGTTGTCCTCCCTCATTGCATGGCATCAACACAATTGCTGATGAGTTTTGGTTTCTCTAGATCCTTGGTGGTATCCTATGGACCTGGACAGACATGCCTTCCTTGGCAGAGCTTTATAGTTTCATTGCCGTGGGTGTCTACTTTGCAAACGTGAACTACCACCTGTTTCCTTTCCCCTGCAGGTCTGTTTTACCAACAGTTTTCTATGCACATCACCAAATACAGCCTCTGTTCGTTCCCTAATTAGCTTTCCCCAGCTGCAGTCTTGCAGCTTGCTTACTGCTTTTTCATGGTGGTTGTTTTAAACGCGCACTGTACACATCTAACTGGCACCGTTAAACCCACCATTTCCTGAATTTAACACAAACACACACCCGATTCAGAGCAGCTCAGGCTGATTAATGAATCAGAAAAGATTAATTTTCTACTTGAGGTACCTATCTGCATTACTGCACAGGGCTACACCACAAAGCAGGTATTCTGTCGGTTCAATACATGCATCCAGAAATTAAATCTTCTTGTTTCCTTTTGTGCTTTTATTCATGTTAGCATGAAGGTACCATCTGCCATTGTTACACAGACCCCCACAAAGCCTACAGCTTTATACTTCTGACTCACACAAAGGAATCATTTGGCATTGTTTGCATTAAATAGGAGCGTGTCGATTTAATCCCTACACTAACACCGTAAATAAAACACATCACTGCCGATGAAAAGAGCCAATGTGCATCTAAGTCCAAAGGAGAATTTGCGAATGAACGTATAGTCCAGGGAGACCATTCCTAATCTTGGCGAGGTGGGCAACGTCTACCGATTCGGGACCTGATGCTGCAGAGTAAGTACATACTGACGCTCTTTGCTGACCCAAGTCCTGAACTTCTCGTTGCATGGGTGGGTTGGACAATGGCAATACCAGGAGAATGACTTCTTTGTGGACTTCTTTAAATACAGACCATCCTTTACTGGGAGGGGAAAATGACCCACAGGATCTATGCCTGTCTCTATATTCGGTGATAAAACCACGACATGCGTGTAACCTACTGACTTTATTTCATACATATTGCAACAGGCCATTAATAGAGTTGCATATAGGGCGGTGGTAATCTGGCTATCAAAACTGGATCTGTATCTTTGCTGCATAGATGGATATATATTTTTTCTATCTATACCTATTAATTACCCACTAAAAGCACCTCTAATATCCTCGTTATCTGCTAGTTGTCTCAAAAGGCTTCAAGTACTAAACCAAGATCTATAACTTTCCTAGATTTTCAGGGCTGGAATTTGGTTGCTACACCTTATGTCTTTTTAAAATGTGACAAAGCCAACTGAGCACAATCTTAGGCTACCCCTTGCCCCGCTCTCCCTCACCTGAGCAGCGCGGCTACCTGGTTGATCCTGCCAGTAGCATATGCTTGTCTCAAAGATTAAGCCATGCATGTCTAAGTACACACGGCCGGTACAGTGAAACTGCGAATGGCTCATTAAATCAGTTATGGTTCCTTTGGTCGCGCCAACCGTTGCTTGGATAACTGTGGTAATTTTAGAGCTAATACATGTGGACGAGCACTGACCTCCGGGGATGCGTGCATTTATCAGACCAAAACCAACCCGGGCTCGCCCGGCCGCTTTGGTGACTCTAGATAACCTCGGGCCGATCGCACGCCCCCGTGGCGGCGACAACGCATTCGAATCTCTGCCCCATAAACTTTTGATGGTACTTTCTGTGCCTACCATGGTGACCACAGGTAACGGGGAATTGTTATACTGTCAAATCTGCCTTCGCATTTGTCTCCACTTGGCGAGATGCACAGCCTGTGCGGCGCTGGGATATTACATCACGCGGCGTGCCGCGGTCTAGACAGGCATTCGGCGTGTTGTCAGGATTTCGCAGAAAACCATCAACCCGATGACATGCCCTACCTAGCAATATCCCAGAATACTGGGCGGACTGAAAATCAAGATTAAAAAAGTCCTCCCCAGCTGCCAAAAGGAAAAATTAAATATCTAGATTTAGAAAAATGTTTTGCGAGTTTTTCTACCTTTTTTCCCCTCTTATACAAGACTCCGCCGGAAATACGAAAGCGTGCGTGGTCACTTCCGTAGCGGTGTCACCTTCAAGTCGAACCTGACACGTCTATTCTAGCTCCGAAATTACCGAACCAGCGTGCCGGTTAGACCGTGTGATCTCATTTCAGGTATCGGTCATTGAGAATATCGCTCCCCAAATACCTGCAGACTCTAGCGAGGCCAGGCTGGCATTTCCTGCCTTCGCTACCTAGCCACAATTAGAGAGCGACCTCGCATTCACAGGCAGTCTGTTCACCTGGAAACAGTCATTTTACTCAGGCATATTCAAAAATCTCCACGCAAGCGAGAAAATAGCTTGTATTTATGCTCATATTTTTAGGGCTCAGATGATCCAATAACAAGAGGCATTAGGAAAACCATTTGGTTACAAACATGCACCTGCCCTTCAAAAGGGGCACGAGATCCCTTTTTAGCTGCCACGTGCCAGGATGTGTGGAGGGGAAAAATAGATCAGCAGCCTTTTCAACTATGGCACAGATCTGATGGGGGGAATGGGTTTGGCACGAACGCTGGCTTCGATACCGGGCTCGGTCTCAATGGACTGAGCCCAGTGCGCTAATCCATCCTCTCCTCCCTTCGACTGGTTCCCCATGACCAAGTCAATTATTTTTTGTTAATAAAACAAATCAGAATAAGCTGATACCGGAGAAGGACAAATGTTCTTCCAGCTCATCTAGTTGCTGACATTTCATTTCGAGTCCAGGACACATGTTCCTGGTACTACTCTGTTTGCTTCCCGGTCAGCACATCTGGGATGAATATTTACCATTGGGCTCAAACAAACACAAGGCTTCTTTATCAAACCGTTTTCCATCTCTTGGCGGCTCGGTGCTGCATCCAAAACCCACGCTAAGTAATGATTGGCACCGGCACGTTGGAATAAAATTGCGTAGGGACAACAACATCCCTCTTCAATTGTTGCTAGAGAGCGCGGCCGTGAAATACCAAACCTTTCATGTGCCGATGGAGAGCTTTTTCCAGCGGCTTTCTCAATGGTTTGCATCGTAGCTAACAAAACCCTTTCCTTGACAACGCATGGCGTATGCACACAGAAAAACGAGGCTTGGACTTCTATGCTTGTGCTCATTAGCGCTAGGATATCTTCCCCTGCAGAGAGGCTTAAGCAAATACTTTGTTTTCAGCTTGCTGGAGGTCCTTGAAATGGCCGTGATTTTTTTTTTAGGGGGTGGGACAGGGAAGACTGTCACGTCCCTTGTGTCCTGAACACCGCTTTGCTCTCTCGGCAGCACATTCAAGGCAAGGCAGCAAGAAAGAAAATCTACAGAGGACAGCGGACCTCCATGCACGGTTAAATCTCTCTCTGTGCAGCCTCATGCTTGCCAGAAGTGAGAAAAGCCATTAGAGCTACATCCAGCAGATGTTTTAATCATGGTCTTCTTGTCGATTTGCGGCATTCAGGGTTTGACTGATGCGACAGAAAATAAAGCAGACAGCTAGATTTATCACTGTTCCAATCTCTAATCACTTGCCAGAGTTATTCCCTGCAGCACCGTGGGGATAATGATGTTTAACATATCAACAAAAAAATCTTCTCCTCTTCATTTCTGGCCGGGCACAGAGAAACAGGCGAGAGCCTCCCCGCCTCCACCGAAAGACAGAAAATCCCACCGGTGTTAAGATGACGGCGCTGTGATTATCGCATGCACTTTGCTCCTTTGTCCTGAAACTACCTGGTAAACTCTCCTTTCCCTACAAACCCCCGAAAACCTGGGGCGCCTGGGCAAAACCCCTCTCCCCCACCCACACCAGCCAGCGCGCCGCTAGCGATGCAGACCGCTGACTTGAAAGCAGGGCGGAGATGCTGCGGCCGTGTCACATAATGCCATGGCGATGCTAGCTGCCATTCAGCCCAGGCCTGATTTCTAATGTCTGAATAATTCAAAGCAAAAACCACTTTTCGAGCCCTCCCAGTGTGAACCAGATTTGGCCCCTGGCCATAAAGCCCCATCCAGGCACTATCTGCCTTCGCTGCCTGTCTGGGAGCTTGCCCCCCGTGAGAAGTGGGCACCGGCGCAGCACCCACCCTGTCTGCATGACGTCAGCCGCTGAAGGGCCTAATGCTAAGCCTTGCAAGACGGGCCATTAACCTCCCCAGGCCCCTTGGGACCTGATGGCGTGTTGCTTTTCCTTCACGGATGCACGGGCTGCCCTTGCTGTCGCTGCAAAGTGCAAAGCATGGAGCCTGCGTCCGAGGCGAGCAGCCCCAAGCCCCACAGGCTGCCTCCAGACTGCCACGCTCCTACCTCTGCTGCTGCCAGGTCAGCCCCCTCGACATTGCCACAAAGAGATCAATGAAGAAGAAGGGCCTGATCCTGCTCCCAACACCTTTTAGCCATTAATAAACTGCTCAGAGACAGGTCGGTGTTTGGGCTCGAATTCTTTTGCCAAAACCACCAGTCAGCAGCAAGGGACCTGGCGCGGGAAGCCGCAGCAACGGGGCTGGTCAGGACAGGAACAGCGACAGTCGGGCGTGGGAGGGAAAACCTGACCTGCCGCAACAGCAAGCGCTGGTCTCCGCTCCAACAAACACATGTTAGTGCCACTGTTTTGTTGCATATCAGAGGTCTCCACCGGGACAGCTCAGGGGGCCGATCTTCAATGACCCCGAACGCCGCGGCCTGAGCTGGGAACCCGCTGAGCACGCGCAGGTTCACAGTACTTGTGACCCGGCAGACATCGCGGTCAGAAGGGGCTGTGACACCACCGTTGCCTGGCCCCCTGCCTATTGCAGGTGCAAGCATGAAGCTCACTCGTCTCCAGAGCAGGGGGCGGCTTCCAAAACCTGGCAATAGCAACAAGCCACTTGCACCTGGTTTGGGGTTGGGGTTTTATTTTTGCAGTGTGTTTTGCACCTGGTTTGGGGTGGTTGCTTTTTTTTGCAATGTGTTTTTGCAACGGCAGGGGAACCGCCCATGTAAACCCAGGCAGTGCAAGCACGCCACAGGCACCTCCTCCCACCCGAAAAACGAGGGTCAGGCCTTACCCCTTTGCAAATCGCCACGGCCTCTTTGGACATGGATTTGGGATAGGCTACGTTGTGCTCCATGATGGACTGGAAGAGCTCGTCCTCGTCTTCGCCTTCAAAAGGAGCCTGCGGAGGAGGAGAGAACAACGGGAGTGTAGCAGCATGTCTTTTGCCTCGGAGCAACGCGACAGCGGGGACACTCTCGCTCGCTTGCACACGCGTCCACCCTGAAGTCAGGCCCGTGCTGTCCCTTTCCTTAGTGGCTAATCTCTCCCTGAACTGCAGCCGGAGGATTCGGTCTCGGGGGCAGACCGGCTCATGAACTCCAGCCTGGCATGAAGAACATGGCACCCCACGGCTGGCCGCGGCAAAAGGAAACAACACGCGAACAGCTGGTCAAAACGGCATTTAGCACAGTCCCACGGGAGCCAATTACAATGCAATTACCTGGCCGGCTAGCATCTCGTAGAGCAGAACGCCAAATGCCCACCAGTCCACCGACTTTCCATAGGGCTGATAAGCAATTATCTGCAAACAACAGAGAAACAGCGGGATTACACTTCTGTTTGAAGCCAGCTGGCACAAGGCAAAACGACGCCAAGCCTCAGCCCAGGTCAGGTCAGAAGGACATGGAAATGGTGACCTGATTTTTCAGAAGCGATGGACGAGCCATTTCAGCTGTCCTTGAAACATGCACGACCGGGACGGGTTCAACCCCTTTGAAAGCCAGGGCACTGTCTTGCCCTTATAGGACACAGGCTAGGTTAGCACTGGGGGCAAAACAGACAGTTCACTCTGATTTTGCAGCTAACCTTTTACTAATACAGAACAAACCTAAAATATGGTCTGCTCTGCTTCTCAGCTCTAAGAAACCAGGTGAACTGAGCCCCTGCCTGGAAATCAGTACGGGGCAGGAGAGGAGAGGGACACCAAGTACAACTCTGCTTCTAGAAAAACTCCAATTCAAGAGGCAAGTTGTTCCAGGGGGAAAAATGACCCAAGCAAGAAAGTCCCAACGTACCTTAAGGAGCTTCCTCTGCTTCATAGTTTTAACAAGTAACTCGGCATTGAGACAAATAGCTCGTGAGTGCCTTGCATGGAAAGCAGGCCAGAGGCTGCTTCCAGAAATCAGCACCCTCCTGGATGGTGCTGGGCCATGGGCAGCTGCCCCAGTCATGTTGGTTTCTTTTAAGACCTTCTTTGCAGTATAATCACTTAAGAGTCCCCTCTAAAAGGGGGTGCTTCAAGGCTTGGAGATCAGCACACGCTTTCAAGACTTTGTTCAGGCAGGGCCAGGACCACGTCCACCCACTCAGACCACAGGCAACTTTTGACACCCTGGGCGTGTGTCAGCGACACAGGAGTCAACGCAGACCGCCCGAAAATTTTAATGCAGCTTTTTGCTTTTGGTGCGATGCATTCTTGTTGGCATGGCACGGTCGTCGCGTTTGCACTGGTATCAAATTAAAGCCCCGGTAGGACCTTTTTCCTAATGGCAAACCCTGCGAGAGCCCAGGGACGGCAGTCCCCACCGACCCGTGCTGCTAGCGTGCGCTCTCTAAATCGCCGCGCTACCGGACGAAAGAAACCGTTGCAGCAGCCGGGCCTCCGGGGAGCAAAGGAGAGCCACGCTGAGCTATTCCACCAGCCCGGCCAGCGCTGTCTGGGTCTGAGTGGGATCGTGCCTCCAGGGCGCCTCGTGCGTACAAACCTCTGGCACTGGCTCCTTTCCCTCTCTCCCATCCGTCGGTGACTGCTCTTTAGTGCAAACGATGCAAGGGGAGGCAGGAAATTAGAGTGGAAATAAAACAAACAAGCACACACAGCCGTCGCTAGACGCTGCCGGAGCCGAGGAAGGCTTGCAGCAGCCAGGCTCCGAATCAAAGGGACCCGGCGGGCGGCTCTGGGAGAGGAGCCTGTTTGGAAGTGTTCCTTCAAGCCCTGGTTTATTTGCTTAGCTGCTGCTGACAGGCCTCGGAGACCTCGACGGGCCTTAGGGTTTGCCATCTGTCACTCGCCGCAAAACAATTACACAATTTATTCATCCTAATCACAGGATCTGACTCCAAAAAGATTCAAATATGCATGCAAATCACATGCTAATCACAGGAAACCACACAGACAGCGATGCAGGAGGCTTTATTTCACTATTGCCTCCTCCCCAGTCTGTGGCCGAGGCTCTGGCTCTTCCACCCATGCCCACCCAGCTCGCTGGTCCTCTTCCATGCCCCGAGAAAGCTGCATATCTCGCTTCCCCTCCAGCAGATAAGAGCGTTTCCAATGACTTCTTCAGTCTTCGGAAAGGCAAACAGGCGTTGGCCGCGGCCGGGATGGCAACAGCCACGCTGAGTTGAGCGGTTCTCGTATTTGGCAAGTTTGAAGAAGAGACCCATCAGAGCAGCTCAGGAGGCACCGCTGCGACCTGCCGCACAGTCCGACGTGGACTCGTCCCATCATCGATTACTGCCAATGAGGGGTTTTCAGTCTTTGTTAACTCAAAGGCCACTTCCAAGCTGCTCTAAACCACGGGGATGGGAAACTTCAAAAAGACAAAGTCCAAGCCAATGGGCTGGACAAGGCGCAGGATGTTTAACTCGAAGATGTGCTGCTGCAGAGCAAGTCAGTCGGGCTCAATGGGGAGCGCCCGGGGCTGCAATCTGGGCTTTAACCTGTTCTCATAACCAGGACTGTGAACAGGATTTCTCCGTTTATAAAACAGGTATCGGCCTATTGGAGCTGGACCGTTCTCAGCGGGGGCAGATGGCAGGACAAGGAGCAATGGGCTCACATTGCAGAAAGGGAAGTTGAGGTTAGATATTAGGAAAAGTTCTCTCACGAGGAGGGTGGTGAAGCATTGAACAGGCTTCCCAGAGCGGTGGGGGGTCTCCATCCTTGGAGGTGTTGAAGACCCAGCTAGACAAAGCCCTGGCTGGGGTGATGTAGTTGGGGCTGGTCCTGCTTGGAGCAGGGGTTGCACTAGATGTGACCTCCTGAGCTCCCTTCCAACCTGAATTTTCTAGGATTTGATGCTACTTACCTTCTTTGAGCCTACAGGTACATAAGCACTAAATAACAGCCTATCTATTACAATTATCCCCGAAGCCATTAGTAATTTGCATCCTAATTCCTCCATTCTTTGCTTTTCTATTGGAGGGGGAAAAGAATTAGAGCAAACAGAAGAAAATAAGGGCTTAAAGTACTAATGCTCAGCAGAATACCAAGGGAACTGGTCATTTGTCCTGTTTTGAAAGAGTATTTATCACATGCAGCAACACAGCTACGTGCCAACAGGACACCAGAATTAATCTCGGTAGAACGAGGCTGCGTAACATGCATTTAGACTAGTAATTAAACCTCTCCCTGGCTGTAATGAAACACAACGCAGTTTCGAATACTGGGGCATAATTTGACACATCCATGAAGTACATTTATTTCCCTAAAATATTTAAATGGATAGATATTAATATTTCATTGCTGAACTGAACATTCAGCAAAATGCAAGAAGATTTGATGTTTGTGTTTTTTGCAGGGAGGACAGGTACTTAGGATCAAACGCAACACTGGCTATCCGGAATAAATTATTAAAACGCGCCCCTACAGTGCTTTTAGCACCATTTGTCATACACGACTCCATCAGTCGTTAAAATAATATGCTGACACCCGGCTTAATATGTTGAACAGTTTGGCGTGAACGGAGAGGGCGATCCTTCAACGTACAGCCGCCAGCACTCGCTGCAATGCGGCGGGGGACACCTGAGGGTTTTATTTCAATGGGGGAAGATTATTTCCTGGCAATTCTGTTTTCCATAATCCTCCCTTCTCCAATCCTACCCAAAAGCAGACGTTACAAACAGGGTTGAGGCTCCACCTACCCGAGGCAACTGGTTTGCCAGTCAAGACCAGTACGAATGGCGCTCTGCCCGCCCACTCCCACTGGAGTCTTCCTGTGCAAGGAGCTCCTGCCTCTGAATGAGTTAGTCTCCAAGGTACCACCTTGGCAGAGAGCACCAGATCGCACCTATAGGCAGCGTGGAGCCCCCGTCCCCAGCACGAGGGCCAGGGCTGAACATTTTTAGGCTCGATGCTGCAGAAACAGCATTTCCTGCTGGAGCCGAGAGGAGATTTCCGGCTAGCTCTAGCTCTCATTTTGCTCTGCAAGTGTCCTCCAAGTCCCGAGAAGACCTCTCTTCTCTCTGATTTAGATCAATGTGGCTGCCGGCGGGCTCAGCCAGCTGCCAATAATCATTTGAGGGCCTGTGGCAAAGGCAACTCAATCCTCACACCCACTGCAAGAGGAAAAAAAGAAGTGCACCCAAGCCATTGCATTTCCTCCACCTGCGCTTGTCCAAAGCAGGAGGGCAGAGGCCAGCACACGTTCCCAGGAGGCATTTTTAGTTTCCAAAGCCTCAAAACCCCCCCGCACCCACAATCTGAAGTCACGCTGCGGTCTCGCTGGCTCACCTCAGGGGCGATGTAGTCAGGCGTGCCACAAAACGTCTTGGTGGTCACCCCGTCCCAGATGTTCTCCTTGCACATGCCGAAGTCGGCGATCTTTATGTGCCCTTCACTATCCAGCATCACGTTGTCGAGCTTTAGGTCTCTGCAGCGGGAGGGGAAGACAACCGTTACACACGAGAGCATAAATGGCGCGAGGTAGTATGCAAAGCTGACAGGCATCTGGAAGCCAAGTCCCTTCGTGCAAAGGTCCCTCTCATTTCCTCTTTCTCCCGCGTACCCCCCGCCACGCGCTCGACATAAAAACCTGCTCTGGGAACAACGGGGAGGAAGGAAATCAGAAGCGTGCCAGCCAAGATTGCTTTATTTGAAAAACGTTCATTCTGCATGAATACCAGGCTGGACAAAGTACCAGGAACTACTCATTAAAGAAAAACCTGTGCTGGCTAGGACACTGATTGAATAGATCATTTTTCTTCTCTAGCTTCTGTGCAACTCAAAGAGTTTTGCAAGTTTGCAAGCAATCATAAGGTACGCTCCAAGCTGGAAAAGCTTCTTGCCTCATCTACATCTCTTCCTGAAGTCAGCTCAGCCAGCGCTGTCCTGATCCCGACCCACACAAGACACAGTCTGCTCTAGCTCTTGGCCCAAGCGCTGGGCTGCCTAGCTCGAGCTACAAAACCACGTGGCTTCTGCCGTCGAGATCCCTGGTTCAGGCTCTTGTCCTGGCCAGTGAGTTATGAGGAACCGGCTGGGACGTGCTCAGTGCTTCAATTATAGCTGATCGTCTCCCACGTAATTACTGAGCACTTAAGCGGTCTGCATTGCTACTGGCTTATTTATGCTCTGTGCAAGGAAGCAATGCTCCGAGCTCTCCAGTTTGGGAAATGGCGCGTGTGCCGAGACACTGCCCAATAGCGAGGGTGAAGCCACCAGACAGGAGACCGAGCGGTCTGTGGTCAGGGTATAGACCGTGAACGCCGAGCCGATTGCCATCAGCCACCATGGGCACCGAGGGGCCACCAATCTCTTTGACAAGCCAGGGGGCCGGGACACGAACTGGGCACTGCAGCAATATTCACACCTTCCCCTCCGCAGACAGGGCCAGATCCCCAGGTAGCATAAATAAGTGCAGCTCCCTGGACTTCAACAGCACCCCAGTGATTCAGGGCACCTGAGGTCTCCCCGAGAGCCTCCAGTCCATGGCAGTGCACAGACAAGGCAGCCGAGCCCCAGTAAAGGAGCATTTGGGGGTTGGTTTGCTTGCTCGTTAGAGGCCATTCCCTGGTTGCCCTTTTCACACCCTGCCTTTGTTCCAAAGCAAATGACCAGGATTTTTCTCTAATTGGGAGCTATGGCGGAGTCCATTGCAAGAGGCTGGAAAAGACTCCCCTAAATATTCAGCGCTCCTCACCCAGCAGCCCGCTGGCCTTCATCCCATCCCGCTCGTCACGCGCTTCACCACTCTCTGCCCTCTCCAGACACAGCCCTGCCCTGCTCTGAAGGGCACGGACAAGTCATGGCACCGTCTCGCAGGTCCAGCACCAAAATGTTGGGGGCCGCCGGCACAGGAGTGGGCTAACCCTACAGCCTCAGGGCGCACAGCTCAGCACAGTATTTGGGAAAGGGCCCGTATCATAGGATAATGATATTTGCAAAACCACCCCGGGAAGGAAGACGCCCTCCGTTCCAGCTAAACACATCTTTGCTCAACAAAGTGAAAACAGGGAATTTGCAGCCTCTTGCTTTTTAAGTTTCTCCCTTTTTTTTTATTTTTTTATTTTCTCTTTGTGCTAAATATAGTGGCAGAGCTGAGCACGCGGATAGGCCAAGGACAGACATGTGCAAGGCACCGTGTCATTTCAGAGAGGGGAAAAGGACCCCAAGGGGCAAGCAGAAGGGCCCCCCCCCCCCACTTCTTGGGTCTTTGGAGCAGAGTTGCAGCAGCTCCTCAGTGCATCCGTGCGGGGCTGGCGTTTGGTTTCCCCGGGCCGTTAAGGGCAGCTGGCAGTCCTTGCAGGGGCTCTTGCCCTCCTTGGACCTTGTGGGGACTCCAGCCTGGGAGAGCGATGGCACAGCACCCAGCTGCCAGATGCCAGCGATGGTGCAAGGCATGCTGCCCGATGAAACGAAGCGCAGGCCTCTGAACAGTGAGCATCAGCTTTATACCGGAAGTCTCAGGACAAGCCACTCATAAGCACTTCATTTAAGCCTCAATAATGAGAAAGCAATGCCTTACGGTAAAACCCACGTCTCAATCAATCTGCCATGATTTATGATGTGCAAAGAGTAATGTGAGAGAGTGAGTGTGCAAGTGTGTCAGAAGAAGCATCAAAGCTACTTTTATGACCTCTCTTCCTTACAAAACCTAAAGGTGAACACTTGGTCACAAGCCAGTGACATTAACAGGCCACCAAGCTCCATTTACGGCCGATGTATTCAGCGCTGCCAAGCTGGGAGCCGCGACATGGGGATGGGGGACGGCCCTTGAAGGAGGCTGAACGCGAGGCCGCTGCATGCTTGAGCCCAAAGCACCAGCTGCAAATCAGCACAAAAAGCAGAGCCCGGTTTGTTCAGAAGTTCATTTGAGAGGGGGAAGAGATGGAGAAACATGCTCACCTACCGATAAATGATGCCTTTGCTTTGCAGGAAGAAGAGGCCAATGGCAATTTCAGCTGCATAGAATCTGAAATGAAAGATTTAACAGGAAGACGCAGATAATTAATGCAGATAAATTAAAATGAAAAGCCTTCCAATCTAATTACGGGGGATGGAGCATGCTGGGTGCGTGGCACTGCAGGATCAAGACAGTCGCGCTGTGAAAACACTGGACAAGGATCACATGGCGGTGACATAACTTGGCGCGTGCCCCACAGGGGTCATAATAATACGACTGGGTTGCTGCGGGCTAGTGTGTGGCTTTCACTTCTGATTACATAGATTCTCATTAAAAACACAGAGACACAATCTCTGGCAGTTCGTTACCAGGACCGGGTGGGATACTGCATGCAAAGTTACATGCCGGTTTGGAGAGGCCAGGAAGAAAACCAGCTCTGTGCTTTGGGGGGTCGTGACACAGGGATGTGGCTCCCCTTGCACAGGTGGGTGGTCCCAAGCCTCAACATCTGTGTTGAGGCTTTTCATTTATGAAGCATCTGGTGAAATATATGGTGATGTACAGCTCAGAAGAGAGCGCAGAGCCAACACCGCTGAATGCGCCTTGGTCAACATCCCTGAACTCCCCACCCCGAGGCATGTCCCTCCTCTCCTGCTTCCCAGACGCCGGCGGCGCTACTCCGAAGCATCCAGCGCCTCCCCTGAAAGCACAAACGTTCACGCGGGACTTACACAGCATGCGGCTCTTTAAACCTCCCGACTTGCTGAATCTGGTACATCAAGTCGCCGCCGTTCACGTACTCCATCACAAAATATAAGCGATCCTAGAGAACAAGATGAAAATCAACAGCAGCTGCAGCAGAGCATGCAATTCAGCAAAGCCGCAGGCTGGGGGCTCGATTGTCAGCGGCACAGAAGGGCCATTTGTGCCTCTGCAAAATGCCCCAGGTCTGTCGTTATATATTGTAAGTGCTTAATTGTAAGCGCTGGCCCCTGCCACACAGTGCCAGCGATGTCTGGAGCTGCACGGTGCAGGGTGGCCAGACAGACACACCAGCTCCTTTCAAAGCATGGGGTGCTCTTTGCTGGAGTCTCATGGAAAGCTGCTGATTTGCCCGGGGGGATCTGGGACAGAGCGGGTCTGCAATGAAGCTGGCCAGGAAACACCGCACTCGGTATCATCAGCGAAGCCACTTCTCTGCTCATGATCCAGCTCCACACCAGGCAAGGGGACAGTTGTTTCCACAGTCGCACTAATTCCCTCATGGTAATAACTCAGAAGCAAAACAGCATTCAGCTTGTTTGCATCTGTTTCCTAAACACATCAATCAATGTCAAGGGAGAAGACTATTAAGGAGATGGCTACTGTCATACAACCAGGGCTCAAGCTTCCCTCCGTCTAGAGCAAAACAGTGAGTTTGTGCTTAAAAAGAAGTTGTTTTATGAATAAAAGCAGCCAGATGGTTTGTCTGGCTGCAGGCGGGGAGATGCACACCCAGCGATGAAACGCCACCCTGGTTCCTATCTTTGGAAAAAGAAAAAAGCACCAGGATTGCATAAGCACCGGGATAACGAACTTGCTGGAAAACGGCACGTTCCCGGGGTGTCTAGCTGGGCTCAGTCACCCCAAGGGAAGCAGCACCCTCTCCCTCGGGTCCTACAACCCAGGGAGAGGGCGGAGAAGGTGGAAGCGTTTGGGCTCACAAGCTCTTCGTTCTGCAAATCAGCTGCTGAGTTCGAATTCATCCCACCTTGCTCTGCATTGCAGCTGGAAGGAAAGGCAGGACACCCACCAGGGCCCATCTCCTAGCCGCGCTCTAGAAAGGATGTGGACAAGCTGGAGAGAGCCCAGCGGAGGGCAGTGAAAATGGTTGTGGGCTGGGGGACAGGTCTGTGAGGAGAGGCAGAGGGAACTGGGCTGATTTAGTCTGCAGAAGAGAAGACCAAGGGGGATTTAATAGCAGGGGGGCTGCAAAGAGGATGGAGCTGGGCTGGTCTCAGTGGGGGCAGGTGACAGGACAATTAGCAATGGGCTCAGGCTGCAGCAAGGGAAGTTGAGGCTGGATATTAGGAAAAACTCTCTCACGAGGAGGGTGGTGAAGCACTGGAAGAGGCTACCCAGAGAGGTGGTGGAGGAGTCTCCATCCTTGGAGGTGTTGAAGACCCAGGTACACAAAGCCTTGGCTGGGATGATGTAGCTGGGGCTGGTCCTGCTTGGAGCAGGGGGTCGGACTAGATGTGACCTCCTGAGCTCCCTTCAACCCTCCCCGTCTGTGACCCTGCCTCCTGCTCCGTAACGATGCTGTGACTCAGACTCATTTCTTCCAGTCCACAAGCTCCCGGCAGGCAAGGGCGCGAAGCTCGGGGACTTCTCCTATAGGCTTGAACAGCCGTTCTTATTCATTCCCGTCTCCTCGTTCTTGAAGACGTGGATTTGGCCGACTGCACTAACAGCCCAGGCTGGGAACTGCGCTCTAGACAGTGCTCTCAGAAATCAAAGTGCTTTGTGCTTGCATTTGATAATACACTCGGCTACACATTTTGATTACATTACAAATATGATTACTATTAAGCTACTGTAGGTCTCCTAGAAATAATCCTGCACTGACTCACTTCAGATGTCACAAAGATGGTGAGTGAAATAGCTTCCCCTGCCATATTTTGATTACGGTACTGCAAAGCTGGTCCACACGCTTTCAATACTCTGAATGGCTGGTAAATCAAATTGCTGGGATACTATTAAAATGTAATCCTCCTAGGCTGCATTGTTGCCTGTCTAAAGGACTCTGCCGATTACTGCTCCCTGCTCCGGCTGACAAGTACCTGGGCATTTTTGTTGACGTGTTGCTCAGCATCTGGCCAGAGATTGCTTTAAAGAAGCTTCTCCCCCCAGTTCTGATTTGCACAAGTTTAATAGCATGCCCGTTTCAGGCTGCGTTTCCTGGACTTATTAGGATTCACCACCAGCTCAGCCTTGTCATTCCCCGCAGCGCATCTCACGGGAGGGAAACGACTCCATCCTGCTCTCTGGTTTATAACTCAGCTCCTCGCAAAGGGTCTTTCCTAAGCAGCTGGATCCAATTCAGCCAAAGGTTGGCCGACGATAAGACTTCAAGAGGTCTGGCTTCTTTCCACCCCAGCCTCCATTTTTAAGCATGCACAAAGCCAATGTTTTCCTTCCTGCCTCCATGTTTGCATACATATTGGGCAGCGTCTAAGCAGGCATTTCCAGAGCCCCCTGCAATGTGTCAGCCCCTCCCTAAGGCAGAGGGGAAGCCAATGGTCTCCAGTTGCAGCAAGGGAAGTTTAGGTTAGATATTAGGAAGAGCTTTCTCACTAGGAGGGTGAAGCACTAGAACAGGTCACCCAGAGAGGTGGTGCAGTCTCCATCCTTGGAGGTGTTGAAGACCCAGGTAGACAAAGCCTTGGCTGGGATGATGCCATTGGGATGGGTCCTGCTTGGTCTTCCTGAGGTCCCTTCCAGCCCTAACTTTCTATTATTCTAAGTGTGTGGTGTGTTATGATCATAGGGGCCAGGGAGGATGGGATAGTGGCAGGGAGGAAGTCTCTTTTCCTATCTGGATTGGTTAGACAGAGCCCCTTCCCCAACACTTCCAATTCTCATTGCAGCCCTGACCAGGCGGGCACTCCCCGTCTGGTTCTTAGCCTGGCCTGCGAAACAAGATCATTAATCAAGCGATGCCACTTAGAGAAGCGGTTTGGCACAAGCCCGTGGCAACAGGAGTGCCACCGCACACTTACCATCGTTTGAAAGCAGGAATGGAGCTGCGTTAGGAAGGGAGGCTTCCCGGACAGCGCTAGCACGCGCTTCTCCACCATGGTGCACTCCACGTCATCGTCCTGTATAATGACGTCCTTCTTCAGGATCTTAACGGCATAGAGCTCGTCTGTGCCCTTCCTCTCCGCGAGCATGACCTGCGTGGGGAAGAAGGGGGGAGATGACAAGAGGCAGCCCCACCCACTAAGCTTCTGCAGCTTCCGCTTCGCCATCCCACGTGCCAGGAGGTCCACGCTGGGTTTGTGCCCCCCATGATCGTGGCCGCAGTTGTGAATGCATCCTCCCAGCATCCCTGTGAGGGGACTCGGTGCTTTCATTCCCCAGGTGAAAGCGGGGAACAGCAGCACAGACATACCACGGGGCAAATTTTTAAAGGGGTGGAGGTGCCTGAAGGTTCACACCCTAAATGAGATTTCCACAAGTGCCACAAATGCCGTGACGTGTACAAGCGTCCCAAGGGCCTGACTGATCTCAGCACCTTTAAAACCCACTCAGGGTCAGGCAGAGGGTCAGGCAGGGGGTCAGCAGCACTGCCCAGACCTCTCGAACCACCGGCTAGCACCTCAGTCACAAGACCAACTTCCACCTGACAGCTGCCACCAGATGCCGTGGCTCTCAAGGCGTGGAGCTGCCATGGACACTAGGACACTTTCAAGCCTATCAACAGTGGCAAAAATTGAACCAAAGAAGTTAATTCCCTCCCACTTTGCCCGGCAGGGGCAAAAGGCACCGGGGTTTCCAGTGGTCACCAAGACACAGTTATTCTTGCATCCTGAGCTCAGCAACTGCTTTCTCTCTTGCAAAAGAATTTGCTCACCTAGTATTTTAAACCAATTGAGTCGGCTTTGCAGATTTATTTATGATTATAAACCGGGCTGCACTCCCTCCTGGTAATACCACTTTCTCTCATTAATCAAATCACCCTGACTGAGGAACCTGGAAAAAAAATCCCATCGACACCCTGCCCATTATTAAGACACATTGCTCCAGTTTGCTGTGGGACTGCTTCCGAAATAAACCCTGGTCACCGGAGACCATGGTTTGCTTCTTGTTTTCTCCCCCTGTCGTTGTGCTGAATTCAAATATTCAGCAGAACTGAATTACTCTGCATTTAAAAGAAACTGTTGAAATCCTCAGGTCACAACAGGAACATAAGTTAAGACACTTTGAAAATAAGTTATGGGAAATCAGCACCAATTGGGTGAAACAGAGATCATTTCAGAGGATAGCAGATATGCAAAGAAAATGCTAGGAAAGGCCTTGGACGACAAGTTCTGAAAGGCAAGAGACTGGATTTCCAGCAAAAACACCAGGCTTTGCATGACCCGAGGAAGACGAAACACAGCGAGAACATCACGGATCAAATCAGCATTGAGCAGGGTTTCATTACACAGGGCAGACGGAGCCCAATTCACCGCTGCAAACCCAGAATAACTCCAAAGATCTGGAGCTTTAAGTTGAAACGAGGGTCACAGCGCAAAATTCAGCCTCACGTTGACACTCAGAAGCAAGCAAAGCTCCTGAACGCAGTCCAAGTATTCAGACCACCGATTCTCAGCCAGAGCCCCCAGGGGTGCCCCGAGATCCTCGGAAAGGTGCCACGCAACATGAGCACTGTTAGGCGTGCAAACACCAATGCATGATTCACATGAGATTTCAAACAGGAATCCAGAGTGCCTAAACCACTCAGGCCTGCTGTCGTCTCTCTGAGCATTTTACAACAGAAGAACTGCTCTGTCATTTTTCCAGAGTCAAGACATGAGCAAGAGCTAAAAGTTGGCCTCTTCTAAGGGAGCCCTTGAGTCCAGCAAGGGGAACGAGTCTACAAAAGGTTGCTTAGGCAAAAAACTGTCAACATTTATATCCCCACAAAAGGGTCAGCATTTAGGATACTCAGCAGTGGCAACCTCAGACAATTCACACCATCAGGGGGGCCGTTTTCAGCTGCCTGCAGATTCAAGCCACTTTTGAAAACCTTGGTGCACCCAGGAGCTCAGGAGGCTTGGTGCTTTTTCAAAAGACAGGGATTGCGACCTGCAGAGAGATGCTGCAGACAGAGTGGGGGGTTAGGAGCCAGAATCTCCTTGCAGGGGTCGATTGCTGCAAACGATGCATGGCATCAAACCAGATCTCCACCCTACCTGTCCCTCCGGCACACAGCTGGCTTTGCAGAATTCGCCCCTCTTGCAAAACTGTTCGTAGCAATTATCTGGTTAATGCCTGGGAAGTTTTATGGATACTGCAACACATAAGCCTAGGGTTAAAACTGTATTAGTCTGCCCGCTTGCACGGTGCAATCTCTTCCGATTTGTTAGGATCGAAGGGACAGTATTCATCGATCCTCTCCATGCTCATAGAGGCTCTCCAGATTTACAAGTCGCCCTGATTGGATTTTAATCAACAGAATCAGTTCTCATTTATCCAAAGCAAGGGGCTCAGGCCACAAACGGGGACAGGGAGACTGCTTGGCAGTGGCCTGGGGAGAGCGACAGATCTGGAAGCGGGGGAAGGAATAAACCGTAATGTGGGTGCCTGGAAGATGCCAGGCTCAGCCTTGCTGCTCCCAACCCATCCTGAAAGGACCGGGCATCTCTGGAGCTGGCGTCTCCAGCCTCGTGCAACAAGGCTGCCTCCTTGAAAGGACGGCCAGGCTGCGCGCTGCTCCCAGACACGGTGCTGCGGCACAGACTTGGCACAACGGTCCGATGCTTTGAAACGATAACTCGCCTGGAAGCCTCCGGGAAGGAGGCTGCATCTTTCTGGTAACAAAACACACTCCGAAATAAACACACCAGGAAGTTTTCCCCGAGGTACAAAGAAAAAATTGATTGAATTTCAAGATAAAAGCAGCCACCGGAGAACAGAGTTCGGGGACTGCAAACGATCATGCGGTGGGTTTGAACTCATCTGGCGTCTACCCCTCCCGGGCGAACATCCCATTAACAGCCGGACAGCGCTAGTGCAATGTCTGCGCACCGCTCCCGTCAAATCAGAGGGCGCCTCCGCGGCCCCGCCACCCAGCTTCGCCTCTGCCGTGGAGCGAGGCAGCGATTTACCCCGGTGCAAAATTAAAAGCAAAAAGCTGCTGCCAGGTTTGAGCTAGAAGCGTTGGGTATGGCAGCCAAGCCCAGCAAAGCGCATCGCTGGGATGCAGAAAAGAGCGTCTACCCTTACAGCTGCCATGTGTCTGTCGGCAGAAAAGCAGGGCTCGTTTGCATGGGAGAAACGTGCGCTGCAAAAACCTGGATTGCTCCGCTTTACATCTGAACGGTTGGGCCTGTGGGGCCTCACCTAGGTTTCGGCTATGCAGGTGCACATCTGGAGTAACCCCCAGGCATGAGCCACCCCCGAGCTTGCACCTGCACGACTGACTGCTGCGTCTCGCCCTTGGCCCGTTAGGAAGGACGGCGCATGCAGCGGCAGGTCCCCGAGTCAAAGAATCAACAAATGCAGGGTTGGAGGGTTGCATCTAATCCAACCCCCTGCTCAAAGCAGGACCAGCCCTAACTAGTTCATGTTTGGCCTAGCCGGGACTTCAAACCCTCCAGGGATGGAGTCACTGCATAAGAACACAGCTCCTGGCTTGTGCAGATTGAAGCAAAAAACCAAATGGGGAGGTTTATGCTCCTGTCTTCAGGGCCATCTTGCTCCTTCCTGCTACTACTCCCATCCATCCTTCTTCATCTCGGCAGCTGAGGACCGACTAGGCACATCGATATGAAGTGGAAAGGGCACATCTGCAATGCAGCACAGACATGACTTCGCCCACTCTCTGCGACTGAAGCTAAACTCCCCCAGTACCCGAACCAGTTCAGGTATCTCTACACCCTCTCTCCTGTCTTCGGATGGACATCAGGGAACCATGTCTACTGGGGCTCCCTACAACCAAAGTGTCAGGATAAAAAAGGAGCGGTCGTTGGAGGGCAGCCTCCAGCGACTCTCAGTGTATTTTGCAGTGAATGAAAAACAGATAAGTGGAATATAAAAGGAAGCGGGGGAGGGAGGAGGAATCAAGCCAACTGAATTTGGTCAAGCAAGCCTGCTGGCATCCTTAACTGGATGCACACAGCGAGCCTTCATCAGAAAGCCTCGACCCTCCAAGGCTAAGGTTCGCCAGGAGTAAGGTTGATGCTAATGAGCCCTTCGGCAGGTGAAATTTCCGGGTGAGCAAGAGCAGGAGGGCCCAAGTGACCACGGCCCCCGCGGTCCGGGTGCTCACTGCCACGGTCCATGTCTCTGCTGTGCCCTGCCCCAACAACCAGCCCGTTGCGGGGCTCGGTCTGCAAACACAGTCTTGCAAGGTCCAGGCTCTGCCCCAGTGGAGAGCAGGAGCTTTGTAAAAATAAACCTTGAAAATGTTCATGGGACCTACAAGCCCCCTCTCCCCCTGCTCATCCTGCACAGCAGAAGCAAAGGAATCGGCCAGAAAACCCCCAGGAACGACCGACAGCTTGAGAGCACGACAGCGATTTGCTGAAAATATACGAGCAAGTTGCAGCATTTAACTTTTCGAGACTTACTGTCGAGCCAAGCAAAATGACCCGAGGCCTTGCCAAGTGCAACAGGCCTGGGCAACGGCAAGGGCTCCACTTGCCAAGGCACAAGGAGCAATCCCCTCATTTCTAGCTGGTCGGCTCCTCCCAGGAGGGTCGGCGCACCAGCTGGTGCCCAGCCCAGGAGCGTGCCGAGGTGGTCCAGCCTGGGCGAGGGGGATGCGTGCGCGCTCAGGGCACGTGGCCCCCCAGCACTGCCGACAAGTCTACAGCTGGCCCCCGGCAGCAACAGGACGGGAGGACGGCTCCATCCCCCGCGCTGCAACGCCAGCCCTTGCCGTGGGTTTCCGCCTACTGCACACACTCTGGAAGACCGACCGCGATATTTTTTCCCGAGTGCACAATAAGTTGATATTTAACTTGATTTATTTCTGTAATATAGCGTATGTGCTTGGGAAGGCTCCAGCATAATAACTGGAGAGCTTCCAACTCTGGATGAAAAGCGAACAGGTTTGTTCAACTCCACCGAGGGCAATATCCACATTTCCCTGATGCCGGCTAGCCACCGCCGGCGAGCGAGGAGAATACTAAGCAGCAAATCTGAGCTCCTGCTGCCAAAGGGTTAACGTGCTTATTCCAGAGACTCACGGAAATAGGTCTGATCACACTCATACGGCTCTTTGAATCTAAAAATCAATGACTCGGGAGAAGGAGGTTGACAGTGTACAGCAAAACATGCAAGTGGAGGGGTGAGGCTGCAGAGACGGAGAGAGCTGTGAGAAGCGGCTGCGACGGACCCAAATTACGGCTCAAGCAGCCGCGCGCACTTAGGGACAGGTTCGCTTCTCACACCTGCCCGGCAGAGCCCAGACGCACCCGAGACCGCGACGTGCCGCGTGATGGGGCGATGCCTGCTTTGCACGTGCTCTGCCCCACGACCTCGCTCGTGGCGGGGCAGGGAGTCGAGGCCCTCCGTGCAGACTTGAAGCCACGGGGGACATAAATAACGATGATGCTTAAGGACGTGCTCTCTGCCAAACTCAGCAAAGCTTCAACCCTCGGACATGCCCTCCTGGATGCCCCTTTGCCAGGGGTGCAGGCAGCTGGAACCGCCGAGTCCAGCGCGTGCAAGGGATGTCTCTGAAGTAGAGGATGAGAAGAAAAGCCAGGGGATGCTACCCCCGTAAGCCGTGGGCGCACGCGCGAACCAAGCTGGCTCTAATCGCATAAGCCAATGTTCTGTTTTAACAAGCACTAATTAGCATATTTATAACAGTCTGTTCCATAAAACAGCTTCAGTCACACTTTCCCATTATATAAGCCATGCAGCCAGCGGAGGGGGTTGTTCAAGTTTCTCAAATTAAAAACAGGAGGAAAAGCTCCACAATTCCCAGATGCCGCGCAGGAGGCTTCAGAAGGGATTAAGTGGGTGGAGAGGGGGCAAAAGCCACAACTGGCTTTCAGTTAAGATTTCACCAGCGTCCCCGTTTGCAAACGTCCTTGCTCAGGGCTGCGATAAAGCGCCTTCTGCTGAACGGCTGGAAGAACGCGCTCGCTTTCTGCATCTATTTGCTAGGTCTGGGGGAGACGCGCGCAGCATGCTCCCGTGGCTTCGAAGCGGGTTCGGGTGAATTAATTTGCACGCGTTTGCTGAATACTGCTGGGAGGATGCTAATTGTTAGGGGGTCTAGAGCTCTGGATGTGGGGGTTGCTTGTTATTCAAAGGCAAAAGCAATAGAACAAATGGGACTACCTTTATCTTCGCCGCGGCTTTGGTTTTATTAAATCATCTGTTAGCCACAGCCCTCTCTGGAGACTTTCCACAGATGACTTCCTCTCGGGAGCATCACACACGGGTTCAGCGGGTTGGGGGTGGAAATGCATGCATTCATCTCGGCTCCTTCTGTACCGCTGTTCAGAGATATCCCCATTTTGCAGATGGGAAAACAGAGGCTCCTGGAGGTGGCGACTTGAGTTAAGGGATGAGCCGCAGAGCCCGGAAGAGATGCGCCACTGCACGTCAGTGCCGCGTCCGTTCTCAGCAGCCCACCTCGGATACTTGCACAGAGGTGGAGGAATATTTGACCCCTATTAAAACACCTCAGTAAACACTCGAATGTCGGGCCATCTGTCACGGCAGAGAACACGGTACCGATCTACCAACAAAGGGGGAAAAACACCCTCCCACCTGGTCTAAACTATGAAGCTAAAGCAGCAAGTGGAGCGCTGGAACGTGGAATGCAAATCACGATAAAGTTGGCAAAACCCCAAACCAAATGAAGATGCCGAGTCCCACGATTACTCCACGAAAGCAATCCAGTGAAGTCAATTAATGGGCTCAGGCAGGTTTGCAATGATTAAATCAGGTGTGTGTTGGGGGGGAAAGATAAACAGGAAAGAAAAGCTCTTTCAGGGAACAACTGAGCCCTGCTTCCACAAAGAGCATTTCTAATTTTTGCAGTGAAGTAACCAGACGTCTGAGCTCGCCGTCGCTGAGAAACATCAGCTGTTTCCCAGTCCCCTGAAGAGCAGCGCCACAGCCCGCGCTCCCCGTGCCCTGCTCCCGCTGACGCCGCCCAAGGACACGGCGCGAGTGGGGAACAACGACCACTTCCAGGATGTAAAATGCAACCGGCTCCCGTTCCAAAAAGCACGCGAGCGGCAGCAAGACGTTTTGCTTTGGGCAGGGGCCGTGTCTAGTGCTGCAGCGGGATCCCCACCGACGGCACTGCGGAGGAGACTCCAGCGAGTCCCACCTCTCCGGACAACAGCAAACATACGGACGTGGAGCCGGGGGCTCTCGCCCCTTGCTCCGTCGCTCTGCGACTGCTCTGGTTACACGTCTCGAGTTCAAATGCAAACTCCGTTCCATCTTAACCACCATCAAATGAGACAGGGAACTCATGCAGATGAAAGGCACGGCTCCCCACGCTCCTACGCCCAGGTATAGGAGAGATGCTGCCTGGACCACTGGGGCTGCAGGAAGCAGAGCCAGGTCAGGCTAGGAAGCACAGCAGACCCAACGACACGAAACGTGATGCTGTCCACGGGTGCACGGACAGCCCTTCGAATACTGCACCTTGCCAAAGCTTCCTTTGCCCAGCACCATCAGGAAATTAAAATCCGACAGCTTCATCCGATCTCTGCTTCCATTGTTGTCAAATTTGGAAATAGCGTTCTGCGCCTTCTCGTCCGCCGCTTTAGACCCTGGGCCGATCTTGGCTCTCTGCAAGAGGGAAGGAGGTGGTGGGGAAGGGAAAAAAAAGAGGAGAAGAAAATGATAAGACAAAATGATTTGTTTGAAGACTGAGGATCCTCCCGACCTCGCGTTAAACAAGCCGCTCATTCCTAGGGTCTGTGCAAGGCTGAGCCGTGGAAGGTCTTTCCCACGTGCATGGCAGAAACAGCACCAAGGATAACCCTGTAACAGGCTAATGCAACACAGTGCGTGACATTGTTCAACTCCTTTTAAATTAATCTCTTTGAGAGGTACCTTGAATCATTATCTACTCATCACCCTTCATTGGAGGGCTTTGTGTTGCCGAAAGGCTGACTCAACCCCCCAGCTTTCAGGTCCCCGGGGAAGCTCTCTGGACGGGCACGTGGAGGAAGTGCCTCCAGATATTAAAGGAGAGACGAGAGAGGGGAAAAGACACCAATTACACTGCACTTAGACTAGCCCTTAGAAATGCCCAGCTAGGACTTTTCCAGCTCCGTTTGAGCGACTGCTCGGGGCGCTTGCGCCGCCCCTGCAGGGAAGACATCCCGTCCGGTCGAGACGGGGATACGGCACGCGTCATCCCCGCGAGCGGCGTGGCTCCAGCTTGTCCTCGCACACTGCTATCAGATGGCAGCACTCGACCGTCTGCCAAGGAGCGCTCGAGAGCAAGTCACAAGTTCACCTCGGATTTTAAACCTTGAGCCTCAGCGCGGGTCTGGGAGGCAGCGGAGATCAAGAATGACACGTTCGATACGATTTAGGGCTCCCTTCGCAATGCCGAACTGGGCTTGCTGTGCATCTCACGCCACGACCAGGGCCACACTGAATACAAACACGCTATAGCAAAATAAGGGGAGGGGTTATTTTTTGGGCGGGGGGATTTCTTAAGCTGTATTTTTATCACCGCTTGATACTGAAGAGAAGGGCTCTCCGGTGTCAATTTGGGCTAAATGCACGAACCCCAAAATACACTTCGAAAACAGAACAGACTGCTGCCCCGTCCCGCTCCTCAAAGCAATCGCACGACCCAGCTGAATCGCGACTGCTTATTAAGAAGTGATGCAAAAAAGATAAGGAAAGAAAACCCGCTCACACTTTTAAACGCTAAATCTCATCGCTTCCTCGGTGCCTTGTCACTGGTCCGGTGACTATCTAATGTGCTGAACCAGAATTTATAAAGGCTCCCTCACAATTTATTCAGTTTTAATTTTTAGCAGTACGCCGCAGCGTAGAGGCTGCACGGAGCTCAGTCTAGCATGAAATTCCATTAACCCGATGCCAGTCGCTCAATTCGACTGCCGCTCACAGCTCCTCCGGAGAGGAGGCTCGCAGGTAATCTCCAAGCCTTTGCTACCGCTAATTGGTTATTGCAAGGTTCTCCTGGCTGTAAAATTCCCCATTCAAGGTCACCTGCAGCTCTCCCAACCTGTGTCAGAAAGCCCCGCGTGGGAAGCTAAAGAAATGATGCAAATCCCGAAGGCTTATTGCAGCAGCAATTCCAGAGGAGGACTCCGAGGAGCAGCTGTGCCATTCAGCCGCTCTGTCCCAGGCTTGCTGCAGACACAGTGACAACCAAGGACATGCATTAACAACAAATTCAGCCTCCCAGCAAGGTGCACTTCCCCATTACATTATCATGATTATGTGTAGGCTTTAAAAACATTTCCAGAGCCGAGGTCAACACCTAGCTGGACCCATCGTGTGTTCTTACAGCTTGGACGCGGCCGTGGCACGGTGAATAAAACCTGCGCACTCCCAGCTGTTTCCCTGTGGGTCCCTCCGCCTGGGGTGGGAACAGGGAAGCATGGCAAGTAACTTTCCCCGGGGCATTGACTCTACCCTGTGTTTCTGAAGTGTCCAATATGAGCCCCTGGCAGACAGAGCATTTATCTTGAACCAGCAGCTCTGGCCTGGAAAGGTAATCCCAGCGCCGGCGCAGAAGGACATGCAAGTGGCACGGCCCAGGTCACTTCGCCCGGCCTTCTTGACACGGGAGCCTTGGACGCGCAGCCAGCCCATGGGAGAACGTCGCCGCTGGCATTTAATCTGTTTTAAGAGGGATTTATATCTCTGCAATGAAACATGGCTGACCTTTGAAACGTGGAAGCCAGGCCTGAGTGGCGCCCTTTTGCTTGCAGGAGTTACCTGTCATATTCCCAGGCTGTTTTATATATGGAAAAGTAACAGCACAATGAAAAGGAGTATTCACATGAGAGCAAAGCTCTCCCACGTCCTATCACAGACAATTGGGGTTGAAGGGAGCTCAGGAGGTCACATCTAGTCCACCCCCCTGCTCCAAGCAGGACCGGCCCCAGCTACATCGTCCCAGCCATGGCTTTGTCTAGCCAGGTCTTAAAAACCTCCAAGGATGGAGATGCCACCACCTCTCTGGGGAGCCTGCTCCAGTGCTTTACTACCCTCCTCGTGAGAGAGCTTTTCCCAATATCCAACCTCAACTTCCCTTGCTGCAGCTTGAGCCCATTGCTCCTTGTTCATCACCTGCCCCCACTGAGACCAGCCCAGCTCCATCCTCTGTGCAGCCCCCCTGCAGGGAGGTGAAGGCTGCTATTCAATCCCCCTCGGTCTTCTCTTCTGCAACGGGCCCATTTCCCTCAGCCTCTCCTCACCAGTCCTGCCCCCAGCCCCACAACCGTTTTCACTGCCCTCCACTGGACTCTCTCCAATGCGTCCACATCCGTTCTGCAGCAGAAGCCCAACACTGGATGCAGGACTCCTACCTGGGACTAAAAGTGTCGTTCTCATCAGGTCACATCCGATACTGAATTCACACACATGAAAACAAACTCTTACAGAATTTAAGCGTAGTTATAACATTGCCATGAAATTGAGGCCTTCTGTATTTTCAGTTTTAGAAAAGCGCGCTGCCTTTGCCACGCTCAAAACTGAGGCCCGGCAGCGCTGCGCTAGGACGGAGAACCTGAACGTAGGAGCTCTGGTGCATTCAAGTGAGACTCTGGTGCTGAGGGAAATGCAGGGAGTAAAATGAATAACACGAAGACTGAAAAATAATGTCAAGGATTTACCTTGGCTTTGTTTTAGCTGTCTTAAGTATTATTAGTAACCGAGGAAGATGCATTTTCCTAAATACAAGTTATAATCCAACTTTGGACTGCAATGACAGGCCTGATCTTTCACGACGACCCGAGCCATTGCTGAAAGTTATTGGAGTTTTTGTTCTTTGAGAAGTGCCACCTCAAATCACATTTTATCTTGCGTGTGACCTGAATGTGACATTGCATGAGTTTCTAGGACAGCAGTTGGGGGATAAGCACAGCGCCGCTTCCCTGGAACATCAGGCATAGCGTTCAGCCAGGTCAGGAGAAAAAAGGCCTTTCCCGAAACGTGTCTGTGAGCAGAGTCAGGGGGAGCAAGGAGACCCCTCCCCAAGCAGAAGTGCAGCAGTCTGCTGTCTTTTATCAATAGCCCTGTGCTTCTACCTCTAAGCTATTTTAATGCACGCTCTCTCTGACTAACGAGGAAACCATGCCAAATATTGTCCACCAAAAAATAAAATCATAACAATAAAAAAGCACTTGACCTTCACTCTCCAGTCCAACCTGATGCCATCCATTTGCTGCACCTTTCTGCAACAGCCTCCACGGTTCACGCGTATCAAGGTGTCCCTGCAAACGTCTGATAAACGTTAAAGAAAACACGCTTCAAGCCTCGGCGTGTTTATTCCAGACATGTCGCTGGGCTGAGGGGGGCAGGCGGCATGTCAGCAGGGCACGAGGCGTGACCAGGTGTGCCACGGATAACACGGCACGCAAAATGGGATGGGAGGCCTGTGGGGACCTGGCAAGCTGCCCATGCATCGCCGTTCGCTGCCTCTGCCATGTGTGGCTGTCACCAGGACTGAAACGTTGCCCTATTGATTTGTGCTGCCCAGGTAGAGGCAAGTTCAGGCAGGGCTAATGCAAATTGATTGCTGGATTCCTCTTAGCCCTTATCGTTTTGAATGAAATGGCAGCACGCCTGCCGGCTGCATGACAATGAGCGCTATACTGCACGCTCGCGACCTAGAAGGACATCCTCAAAAGTTTGGCTAAGCAGACAGGTGACTGGGAGAGTTTGGTCTTCAATCAGAGATTCAGGGCCTGCCTATCCAGGCTGTAAGGACAGGATGAAGAAAGTCAAGGGCTGCCACCGATGGGGAGTGTGAAATGGGACTATTCTGATTTTATTTCTGAGCTCCACTGCTATACCAATACATATACCCTCAGCAAGTCTGCAGGTGACACCAAGCTGGGGGGCAGGGGAGTAGTAGATACAGGATTCAGAGAGTAGTCGTAGGATTCACAGAGACCTCAACAAGTTGGAGGACTGAACCAAAAGAAATCACATGAGGCTCAACAAGAAGTGCAAAGTCCTGCACTGAGCAGGGAACAACCCCACGCACCGGGGCAGGCTGGGCAGCAGCTCTGCAGAAAAGGCCCTGGGAGGGATGGTGAGCAATGAGTTGAATAGGAGCCAGCAGTGTGCTCTTGTTGCCAAGAAGGCTACCAGCATCCAGGGCTGCATGGGTAGGGGCACTGCCAGCAGATCCAGGGCAGTGGTTTTTCCCCACTCAAACGTTGGGTGGAGCAGGGATCCAAGTGGGGTGCAAGTGCACCAGTGCAACCTCCTGGGTCCACCTGTGGCAACAGGCCATAAATAAGAAACACATCCATGCCAGCAAGAGTTGGCACTGGTGAGGCCACATCTGGAGTCCTGTGTCCAGCTGTCCCCCCCCCCCCCACTACAGAACAGATGTGGACACATTGGAGAAAGTCCAGTGGAGGGCAATGAAAATGGTTCAGGAGCTGGGGGACTGGTGAGGAGAGGGCAACTGGGCTGATTGAGTCTGCAGAAGAGAAGACTGAGGGAGGATTTCCTAGCAGCCTTCACCTCCCTGCAGGGCGGTCGCAAAGAGGATGGAGCTGGACTGTCCTCAGTGGGGGCAGATGGCAGGACAAGGAGCAATGGGCTCACGCTGCAGAAAGGGAAGTTGAGGCTGGACATTAGGATTTTCTCACGAGGAAGGTAGTAAAGCTACACCTTCCCCAAGATGCCACAAGTTGACACACAGAAGAAAAGACCTTGCCAGGACTTCCAGCATTCCCAGAGAGCCCTGGGTTATGACAAGCAGCTGGCAGCAAACCCCAACGGCTACAAGAGAGACGGGGAGCAAGCTAGGTCAGCGCAGCGTGCGGCACCTCCAAGATCCAGATCCAGCTTCCCAAAGGAGGCTCTGCTCTCTCTCAGCTCCTCCTTCAGACACCTGGACCTGATGCCACCTTTGTCACGGCACGGCTGCTGCAAGCTTCACAAAAAGGCCACGTCCCCCACCTGCCCTACAGTCCCTTGGCCTTGCCAATCAGTGTCAAGTACAATCAATGTAGCGTCCCCCCCATAATTTGGTGGACAGCTTTAATGTGCTGGGTAAAGCAACCGTGCTGAAGACAGGATAAAGTCAGAAAGCACCTTCAAAGGGGTCTCATTAGCCTTAATTTCTCCATGCTTAAGTCTCTGATAATCTCATCGGCACATTCTGCCAGTTCCCAGTTTAGCACAAAGTGTCTCTGAAAGATCAATTCCTTGTTAGCGTTCAGTTATCTACGTATCCCTTTCCAAAGCTTCGCCTCAAGTCCAATGATACCAATATCTTAATGTATCTTAATCATATTAATTTATAACCTCGTGTGCTGCAGATAAAGCAGATTATAGCAGATACCATTATATTGTGCATCAAAATGGGAGTAAAATTGCCATTTCAAACAATGTTTCCGTTGTCCTGACATTAGGAACACATTAGGCCGTCACAGGACGCAATCTTTGTCCTTCCTAAATTAACATGTGGCCTTAGAAGTGCATTAGCTTAATGAATTTCCTCTTCCAGCTACATTACGTTCATTTTGACAAACACGAACACTGCAGAGTCCCAAACAATAATGATGAGATCTAATCTGGAAAAATGAAAATGAACTGGCAAAGCCGAGCTTGTCATGCAGCTGTGTGTCAGAGGACGAGAAATAAAAGCTGCTTCTAATAAAAACTGCAGCCCAATTGTATCATCATTTCTTGCGTGCAGCGAGTGTCGTATCTTCAGCCCTGGACTGAGCAAATACCTTCCAGTATGCAAAGACCCACAAGCAGCAACTATCCAGACCTGCACTTTAGTGCAGCGTTTGTCTGCCATGCCTGACAAAGATCCCTCAGCACACCTGTCACTTCCCAAAGCTCCACGCTGGCTTTTCCCCTTGGCAGCAAACCCACGCTTCCAAAGAAAATTAAGCGCACATCAAATTAATGCACAATATTTGAGAGAAGGCAAGAGACTAGCGCATGCAATAGGCATAGGGAGAGCTAGGATTTTTAAAGGGGGGTGCACCCGGTGAGATGCATCACCACGCAGAACACAAAACATTTTTCTCCAGATAAAAATAAACTAGAAACTTTAACACTGAAGCAAAAAACAAACAGCACTTCATTGGAGGGAGTTCAAAACAACGTGCAGGGCTGTGAAACAGGAGCTTCATGACCAGGAGCAGCATGGCAGAACAGGGGTGAGCTTGGCTGGTAGAAAATCGAGACCATTAAAAAGAAGAGAGGGTCATTAACACCTCTGAAATGAAGGGTTTACAAGGGATCAGGTAGGTGATAATAAGCCGTGGAGTGACTCCCCCAGCCCAGCCTGACTAGAAATGCTGCTGCGCCTGCCAGGCTGTTGGTGTTAAACGTGGGGTGCAGCAGGGATCGAAGAGGGGTGCAAGTGCACCAGTGCAACCCCCTGGGTCCACCCCTGCCAATAGACCATAAATAAGAAACACATCCATGTCAGTAAGAGTGAGCATGCAACTGTTGTACACCCCTCCTGGCCCCAAGCCGGGTAAAAAGAAGGTCCTGGGTAATGTGGGGCCCTTGCAGGACGCATTGGGAAATTTGGTCGTCACACCAGACAACAAAGCTAACATGTTTAACGATTTCTTTGCCTCCGTCTTCCTAAGTAGGGACCAGAACAGCCACCTCCCTGCTGGGCCCCCTTTGGGCCCTGGAGGAGGCACACCTGGGCCAAGAGTTAGCGAGGATTTAGTTAGGGAGCTTCTGGAGGGGCTGGACATATTCAAGTCAGCCGGTCTGGATGATCTCCACCCTAGAGTTCTAAAGGAGCTGGCCGAGGTCATTGCAAGTCCCCTGGCACGGCTTTATGAGCACTCGTGGTGCTCTGGTGTGGTGACGGAGGACTGGAAGAGGGCCAATGTGGTTCCCATCTTCAAAAAAGGGAGGAAGGAGGACCCGGGAAACTATAGGCCAGTTAGTCTCACCTCGATCCTAGGCAAGCTGTTCGAGAAAATTATTCTGGCACACATCCAGGAGGGGCCAGCAGGGAACTGCATGCTCAGGGGCAACCAGCACGGGTTCATCAGCGGCAGGTCCTGTCAGACCAACCTGGTGGCCTTTTACGACCAGGTCACTAAAT